ACATACTCTGATGTAGCGTGGTTATTGGCTTGAAGGCAACGCTGGATGCAGACACAACAACAACATGGCAGCCGCGTATACACGCCAACATCATGTCAGTCACTGGCAGGGGCAGCCTCTGGCAAACACAGGCTCCCAGCTTACAGCAGAATGAAGGCAGCCAGCAGGCAGCCAGCTAGCAGCTAGCTCAGTGAATCACACACACATGCAAAAATCTCGGAGGAAAACAGATCCCCTCCCTCAGTAACACAACAGAAACAACTGAGACAGAGACGTCCTCGTCCTTCGTCTCAAACAAAGAGGCTGGTGAGGAAGATGGAGAGATGAAATGATGGACTGATGGATGCAGGAGAAGATATCAGATAGATAGCTCACCGGGTTGCCTTCTTCCTTTCTCTCTCTCTCCTCCTCTATCTGCACATTATCCAGGCTAAGTGTGTGTGTGTGTGTGTGTGTTGACATGTATGCGTGTGTGTGTGGATATGTGGTGAGCCGGCAAGGATACACACCGCTACATCCCCTCCTCTCCCTCTCTCTGATGATCCCTCCCTCTTGCTCTCTCCTCCCTGTGATTTATTTCATTATTTCCTCTCTCTCTCCAGCTCAATCGCCCTTTCTTCCCCTCCCTCTGCTCACAGCTGATAGAGCTGCTTTGCTTCTCTCCTTCTCCTCTTCTCAGCTCCTCCCTTTGGAGTCAATCACCTTCCATCTGCTTTGTCAATTTTCTTTGGCGCATAAAACAATCAAAAATAAACTCAGAGATAAAGAGGCGGCGGGCTCATGTTGAACATTATGTACAGAATATAATAAACCTCTCTTGCCTGCCTGCCTCACTTTCACACTGTGTCCGCCTCTGTTTCTTGTGTTGATGCAGCAGAGATGCAGGCTCCGCCCCCGGAGAGACAGCGGTGCCAGGCCAGCTGATGGGAAGAGAGTGGGATGATGGGAAAAAAGGGGCGGCAGTGTGGAGGAGTAGGAGGAGGGTGTATTTTGGTTGTGATGGGGACGAGGGGGGCGGAAGGGGAGTTCCAGTGCAAAGCAGCCTCTGTCCCCTGAGCACATCATCCAGGATTTTAACATTTCCACCTCCTCCCAGTCTGCATCAGTTTCAGCACACAGAAGGAGGTCTGTTCATCCCATCTCTCTCTCTCTCAAACACACACACACACTCCATATGCCTCTTAGTTTGGTTAAATTATTATTATGCTTGTATTAATGTGACCATGTTGCACTTCTTGTTTTGCTGGCTACGTGTGTTTGTTGTTTCTGCTATTCAGCTTCTTAGGGTTGGAACTTGTTTCTGTGGTTTGGATGAGCCTTTCCCTGTTGCATGCAATACACATATATTGAGTTATATGTTTCAGTCTTTTCAGTTTTTTTTTATTTTCTATTATTACTCAACAAGATCATGGATCTCCAGCTAACTCATTTTGCGAATCCACCCATACTCATTTCTGACAACAATTTTTCGCTGCAAGTGGATGAGTCAAGATGTTTGATTGTTTGGTGTATTAAGCCACACAATTCATTACACTGTGCAAACAGCATCACATAGCTATAGCTCTCTTCCTTGAAGTGCTTAGTACAGACACAGAGGACTTCCCCACCGATGTGGGAACATTTCCAAGAAAAGCTCCATTTAGCCAGGAACTTCGAAAAGGTTCTCCACCAATATGAAGGGTTTCCCAAAGGATTTTGTCTAAGTGAAGGATCAGTTCATACCAAGTTTTTTGAAAATATTTCCTGCATGAAACCCAGTTGTGAAAAAAATCTTAGGTTCTTTCTTTTTTTTTGTTATTGTTCTGCATAGTTTCAGAAGATCTGAGTTAGCCTTGAAAATTAACAGAGTGAAAATAAATAAGCAACTGTGATTTCCTTCATCCTTCCATCCTGTGAACCCTGATACTCCTCCCTGAGAAGACAAGCCTGTCCTCACCTCATCATTCAACAAATTAAAGTATGGAACCAAATTAAGCATAACAGATAATATAAAACTTTCATTACCTACCCACAGAATGACACTCCTCCAGTAAACCTGGGTTAAATCTCCACTAAAGCTGGCAGTTCCCCATGAAATACAACACACAGAAATACACGCACACACATCCAGGAGTATGGTTCAAAATCAGTAGAAAGTTGCTAGCACAGCAAATGGACAACGAGGGAGTGAAGCAAACAGTGCGAGAACAAACTGGGGGAGGAACATGGCAGCAGTGAATCCTCACAGCTCAACAGCTGGACTGATTCTACATTGCTGTGTATCAATTTGTCCATCCATCCACAGGTATACTCCTTGTATTTCTGAATCAAAAAGGGTCAGCTAAGAGCTCTGACAATTTCATTCAAACTGTAATTGCATATGTCCATTCCTCTATCCGACTTTATTTGTTGCAAAACATGTTTAACATGCAGCATGTCTTCCTCAAACACTAAAATTCGGCTTTATACACACAAGTAACTAATAAATTATTATTTTCCTGAAGGCTCAGTCCAGATTTTTTTCAAATGCAGTTCTAATCAGCATCAACTCCCTCACTTCAAGCAGAAAAATGTAATATAACTTGCAGGAACGTGAATACATTTGCGGATTCGTCGATGTTTTCAAACAAAACATTTGAAAGCCAGTTACCTGCTTTAGCAGAACTTTAGTTAAAACATTCTAAAACAGGGGTCCCCAAAGTCGGTCCTGGAGGGCCGGCATCCTGCATGTTTTAGTTCTCTCCCTGATTTAACACACCTGGATCAAATGATGGCTCGTTAGAGGCCTAAGAACATTGACATTCTGAAAAGGTTGTCGCTACCACCAAGAAGAGAACTAAAACATGCAGGATGCCGGCCCTCCAGGACCGACTTTGGGGACTCCTGTTCTAAACTGAAAATGGTTATATCAGCTAAATATTACATCATCTCAGGTTCCTCAGTTCAGTTGGATTTCTCACAGTTTCCCTGCAGAACAACATTCACGTGTCTCTGAAGTGATGCTGGTTGTGTCAGTCTTCCAGGTCAGCTATAACTCGTTAGTCCATCAATATCCTCATTTTTGATCCAACTAGGACGGAAGAAACGTTTAGATTGTTAAACCATATCAACATCTCCATCACCATGTTGAATCGAGGCGGCATGGATGGCGTATGCACCAAACTCTGATTCTACCAACTGAATGCCTCAGGTACAATGATTAAAATTCAAACCGAAGTCTTTCCAATCTGTCCAATTGTAGTTTGAAGTTCCTGCTTACAATAGTTCTGCTATGGTTGTGTTCTTAGAGATGGTTTTGTAACTATTTATGTATTTATTTTATATTTAGTCATCACATAAATGTCATTTCATAAATGTTATATTGCTTATGGTTATATTTGTATTTACTTATATCTAACAACTTGGATGGAATAACTAATTAGCAAATAAGCAACTTCCCCTTGGGGATCAATACAGAATATCCTATTCTGTTCTGACCAGTGGTTAGAACATCTGTTGAATTGTTATTGCCTGAACCATTTTTGTCCACACATCTGCAGCTCATTGCATAATTTCTGTTTCAGATTGCTCTCTGTTAACCTAAAAGATGGTTGTGTGTGATAAATTAGACCTGACCTCTTCTGGCTCCAACAACCATCTTGTTCAAGGTCACTACATTCCTCTTTCTACACAGCCAGATGCATGGAGGGCTCCATGTTCATTCGGGTGTTTAACATTTGCCTCTTGTAGGAGCTAACCAAAACATTTCAAATGTTAATACAGCAAATTCCATATTTGTTTCCCTGATCTTTCCAATTAAACTTCTCTAAAAATGTAATCTTGTTAATCAGTAACTGCAGCGAATCCTGGTGTTTGAGGTTCAACTGTTCAACATGCAGAATGTACATCACACTGATGAGAAGGCCACCATGAAATTGGATAAGCACATTTATGTCCCTCAGAGACCAAACCCGGTGCTTTTAATTACAGCATGGCCTTTGCTCCTCCAAAGTCATTTTCGATGTGCAGTGTCCAAAGGAAATTTTGTTGAATATAATTTAAGTAGTATCTTAACTTCTGCATAGAATGTTATTTTATTGCCTAGTCCTCAGGACATTGTTAGAACCAGTTCTTTCTCAATCAAACACTAGGATGCTTCCAAGTAATATTTTAGAAATTTATGTTTATGTTCTAACATTATCAGGGTAACAGGATGCAGACATTGTTAGTCACTACATTTTACACCGTTTTTTATATCTTTTTGCACTGATCAAAGTCAAAATGAAAGACAATGTTCAAACTCATTAACAAAGTTTGCGGTGTTTCTCTGAGCTGTATTTCTCTTCTTGCATATAGATGCAGACAGTTTAACCAAGGCTCATTGTTTTCGGCTAATATTCACGTATCTGTGTAAATGGATCCAATCCAGTAGTATCCCAGTTACTTTCATGCTAACATTTCTAGAGTCATGGGGCATCTCTCAGAAAATAACTCAAGCATACAGCAGAAATGTGAAAGTAAGAGCACTAATAGACTCTCTTTATGCTTCTACTAAGGAAAGATTAGGTCACTGTGTCCTACCAGAATTCCAGGCTGGTATTGTGAATGCAAAATATGAAATGCTACTAATCCAATAAAACATCTTGCTAAATTTTGTCATTGCTAAATATTCCACAGTAAAATCTGAAAATTATGACATCAGGCTGTTTGTCATGAGTTGGGCCTAGCCGTGTAGTTCAGGTAAAGAAAATCTTAATGCCTCGGGATACCCAGACATTCTGGACCCTTTCATTCCGATGGCGAGGCAGCAGACGGTCCCTTTAGTCTCAGCTTTGAAACTTAAAAAAGTCCATAAGGACATTGATGAGTGGCTTTAGTGTGGAGGAATCCTCCTGAGGTGAACTGTTTATTAAAATACTTTTGGGAAGCATTCATCTGAAGCTTGTGTTTCAGGCTCTGTCATTCAAGATCAGTAACTGACCTCAATAATGGCAGAAAACTGTGCAAAGTTGAAATAAATGTGAACTAAAGAATCCTCTTACTGTCTTCTCCAGGGCAGGGCATGCCTGGCTGCTCTGGAGCGCTGGGGAAAACTGGAAGAGACAAAAAGAGTTTCAGAGGTTACACTCCCAACAAAAACATTATTGATTTACTTTGCGCTCAGCTTCTAAAAAGCAAGAGTGACTTATAAATAATGGCAGCGACAAATGTAAAAATCTAAACATTAGTTAAAGACCAGGTCAACATTTATTGATGTTCTTATAGTTCTTTAAAACAATACAGATTTTTTTTTCTGGAAAGTGATAGATGAAATTAGACTTTGATTGAAAGACTGTTGCTGCCAAGAAAATAGACATCAAAAACTGGAAGACTCGCATCTAAACATGTTGCGTCAGTGTATGCGACATGACTAGATTCACACAGTGTGGAAGGCCTTAAGTGCCACAGATTGATCAATTAAAGTGTCGTAAAATACATATCTATACAAATGAACATTTCAATCATCAGTTGTTATTTTTACGTTTTGGGCAAATAGTAATTATTTCACCATTATCTTATTTCATAGCAACATGCTAGAGACAGTACAGAGCTGGTCTGAAGTGTTGGGCTGTTATCTACTGAGGATCAGGTTGGACCACGACCTTTAGACTTTGATTTTTAACAAAATAAAAGAAGGAGAGGGGGGGAGGATTACAATTTTAAAACAAATAGGCCTTTGGGCAACAATAAGAGGGAAAGATCATTTCAGCAAATGAGAAATTTACTTTTTTTTATGGTTAGAGAATGCTGTGTAGGTGGCTGCAGAAAAGTGTCAATGTTTGAGGTGCCACTTAAACTAAAGATTTTGTTTTTAGTAATAATTTAATCAATAATGAATTATTAGATATAATCAGTAAAAACAGCATAAGCCAAATAGCAATGTAAATTCTGATTCCCAATAATTGAATGCAATAAATTTTAATCCAATTAACCATTTATTGGCAATTAATTGTACATCGATTATTTGTTTACATTCCCAGTCTGGACGTTATTATATGGTTAGAAACAAGAGGAGTTTTTTGGAAACATGTTTTGAAATTATGATATCATGATAATTTTCCTCCAGATCTTTAATATACTCCAAGCAAAATGCCTAATGTCCAGCTTGAAATCAGCTGAGGAAGGAACTCACCATGCAGCAGCAGTCCAGATCTCTTGCTTCTGCTGTAAATCCTAAAAGCCTCCTCCAGCTCCATCTGAGAGGAAATAGTGCAAGGGTCTCCTGCAAACACAAACAAGTAGGATGATAAGGATAGCAGATGCCTTATCATTCTAACTGAAATACGGGGGTGGCAGCATCATGTTGTGATGTTGTTTTGCTGTAGGAGGAATTGGAACAATTCAGAATCATGAGGAAAGAACATTATGTTGAAATATTGAAGCAGCATTTAAAGATGTCAGTCAGCAAGTAAAAGCTTGTGCACGGACTGGTCTTCCAAATGGACAAAACCCAGAAGAATACAGTCAAAGTGGTTACAAAATGGCTGAAGGACAACAAAGTTCAGAGCTCAGTCTTATGGAAAAGTGATGTGAAAATCTGAAAATGTTTCGTGGCTGGCTTTGCCTTTACTGTGCAGGTGACAATCATAGTAAGAAGTTGTCTTTTAAAAGACAAGGCTCATTAAAGGGACGGTGATGGGAAGCTTTTGGGCTACGTGTGTTTTCCTTCATTACCCGCAGATATCCACCGGAGAAAGCCAGGGAGCTGCTGCTCCACTGGAGGGAGGACCTGGTGCATGATCAGAAGCACCTGAAATCGAAGAACAGCCTCATCTGCCAGCGTATAAGAGGAGCCAGTTGCCAGTCCCAATTCCAGAACTCCAGACAAAGATGCACATTTCATTATTCTTCGGTCAAAAACCTTTTGCTTTTTTCTAATTGCCTCCTAAGACTGTTCTGTGTGTGTGCCAAAAACAAGACAGATGAGAGTTTCACTGAGCCATTCCTTTTTTTAATGGATAATTTTCCACCTTAGGGTACTCTGAAGAATCCTGAGGATTGGTCAGAAACAAATACACAAACTCAAAGTTCCTCTTGGGAAAATGAGGAGTAACTTGGTCCATACAAATCCAGAGTCTAACCCAAATCTAAACTCCAGAATCCAAGTGCAAAATCCAGAATCCAGAATCCAAATGGCTAGTCAGACAGAGAGCAGGAGTCATGCATCACAAAGCAATCCAAATAGGCATACAACTAACAGCAAAACAGGGGCATGCAATTGAGGTCATCAGGAAGAGAGTAACTGGTGCATTCAGAGTTGGCTGGGATAGCAGATGACATATCAAACTTTGACACACACAATAAAGATGAATACTTAGCAAATACTTAAAACTTGCAAAGTACTAATAGCAAGTTTCAGACTAAGAGATAAAACTGGTACTAAGACCTGCGTCTCAGACCAGGAGTTCAAGTCAAGACTCAAATCTTTAGGGCACAAGTCCAAGTTTAGTCTGAAGTCTTATTTTTGCGATGGGTCAACAAGTCTTGTGTAATTCTACAGATGAAAGACATAAAGTCATTTCCAAGTTTGATGTGATGGTGATGACTTGTGAAACGGCCGGTCCAGGAAGCCCAGGAAGAGGACTTCAGTTTGCAGAAATACTCAGAAGAGAATATACAAACTCTGCAGAAGTCAAACAGATATATGGTATCTGACCATGTAGCTCATTCACCTTCATCATCGATCCACTTGAGTGTGATGGGCTGTTGCTTAGCAACACTGCACATTGTTCTCACTTCCTCACACAGCTCCACGAAGCTTACCGTGGCAGCCAAGTCAGTGATCAACATCAACCTGAAACCACACAAACAGAAGATGTCAAGAACAGGTTTTCACTTTAAAGACTGGAGCTGAACGTAAGAATTCTGACCAAAGAATCTCTTGGTTCTGCTGTAAATCCTAAAAGTCTCCTCCAGCTCCTCCATTATTACTCTTCTGGTAATAATGAAAGTCTGCATTCATTATTACTGAATGCAGACAAAACTTCACCTTGATTATGTGAAATACAGCAAAGACTCAATGAGACTTAATGCTTCAGCTGCTTCCTCAAGGCAATTACAAGGCAAGGACACACAAACAGGTTTACAGAGAAAATGACTGTATTCAGAAAGGCCCACTCATTAAAGCTGTCTTGTTTATCATTTTTATAAAGCTCAGAGAACAGATTTTAAAATACTGTTGTTACTTTATAAATCACTGAACGACTTAGCACCAAAATACATTAAAGAGCTGCTGTTGTATCAACCTTCCAGACCTCTCAGCGTTTAGTTTCCACATATCTGGAACAAACTGTCAGAAAACTGCAAACACTGAGTTACTTTAAATCAATGCTAAAATCATACCAGTTTAGAGTGGCTTTGAACCCATTATCACTGGAACATTGACCGACATACATGATGTGTGAGGATGGTTTTGATGATGGCACTTGACAAAATGTAATGTTTCTCAACAGTTGACTGTTAAATTCATAATAGATTATGTTTCAAATACAACAGGTGGGTCGAGATTTAAAGGATGTCAGCAGTTTTACAGTTTTTTGTTACAGAAAAAACGTTAACAAAAAAAGCTGAATGCATAGAAGCTGAACGCTGCTTCTCCTCGTTTGGTTCTGGTTCTGGATGCAGAGCAGAACAAAGCCAGAAGACCTGAGGGGTCTGGAAGGTTGATACATCAACAGCAGATATTTAATGTATCGTGGTGCTAAACCGTTCTGTGATTTATAAACTAACAACAGTAATTTAAAGTCTATGCTCTGTCTTCCTGGTTTCAGTGATAACGTCAGCAGCATTCTGGATCAGCTGCAGCTGTTTGATTTGTTGAGCAGACCTTTGAAGACATTGTTGCAATAATCAATGTTATGTCGCTGTCAGCACATTTCAGCGTTGTTGCTGAAATGTGCTTTGGACATAAACTTGACTGACTGAGTGACGAGTCCAGACTGACTCTCTTCCAGAGGGATATTCCAGGATGACAATACCAGGACTCACTGGGCTCTGATTGTGACCAAGAGTTTCAAGGAGCATGGCATAATTTTTACTCATGGATCGCTCTCCACAGAGTCCAGAACCTTTTTATACGGGCATGTGTCATTTACACTGAAAGCCATGGTGATATGCAATCTATCAACATTGCACCTTTTGGAGCATGTTCTGACTTTACTACAGGTGACATGCTGACTACTAACACAATCCCACTCAAAGAAAAAGTTAGCTGAACTAGTCAATAGGATATTTATTCTTCCAAGACACTAGATGGAGTTCATGTATACACACGCCACATGTCTGAAAACAAATACGTTCGTCACTTTTCCGGTTTACAAATCAATGACCAAGACTTTACCCTCTCTTAAACAGTGAGGCTATAAAATGAGCACAATGGTGAACTCAGAGCCATAAACAATGTGTTTACCACCTCTGTTGTTTGAATTTCATCTCAGTGGTGGCCTTCATGTACCCTTATCAGCTAAGAGCTTTTCTAAATAAGGGTGCACATGTTCAGTTTCAACATCCACACTCAGAGTTCTGTTATGGACTGACTGTGGATTGTTCTGCAGATTGTATTGACATTCAACAATGCAGCTGATCAGTACCAACGTCCACATGGAGACGGGGCCAAACACACACCCAGCAGTGTGATCTGGAGTGGAATCTGTCTGAGCTGCAGAGAGTGGTCTCCCGAGTGTGTCAGACAGCTTTCTGGGTGTGTTTATAGCAAATACCAGTTGGACTCTGACAAGGTGGAGCAGAAACAGCGTGCCTCTCTGCAGGCATTGCTCCACACAGTTTAACACCCACCTGAGTGAATGTAGAGCACTCCGTTATAAAGGTATAACTCTAGAGATCAACTAAAGGTGCTTCATTACTGATCCAGCAAATGTTTCTTATGTCAGTAAGATACAGACCGCCTCGACTCACAGGAATTATTAAGATGTCGCCATAAATAAAGTTTATTGTACTGAGCTAATCAAGTCAGATATGTTGTTTCTAGTATAATACTCAGCTTCAAGCCTTTTCTAAAATTTCACAAAACAAAATAAGTAATAAAAGCGGGTACAGATATTGGACCGGATCGGTATCGGCAACAACCAATAATCTAGGCTGCAATATAAATATCATACCAGGACACCCCTAATATCTGATTCCTGAGCTATTTATATTTTACATTATTTACACATTTAAAGTGTAATAAAAGCCTGAGCAGTAACAGTTTCTTTGACAGATACAACTTGTCAAACTTCCTAGAGTCTAGTGCTTTCTCTCTTTTATGTCATCCCCCTGCAGCTCCTCTGTGCCTCTGCTTCAGATGCTCATCCAGCCAAAGCTTTTCAGGTTGTCCCCATCCTGAAGCAGTCCTAGTTGCATTCTTCAGGGTTCTTGTCCCACATTGCAGCAGACAGACGCGTCGACATGTTTCTAAAATGTTGTCTTGATGAAGACCAACAGCAACAATGACTGAAGCCTGGAGATATTTCTAGAGAAGTAAACTTTCTGTGTTAGATGAAAAATACACAGTCGTCGTACTTCCTTCCAGCATTGAAGGAACTCTATGAAATCTGTTTAACTTTTGTTTCCCCAAATTCTACTTTTTTCATTCTAACCACGCAGGCCTGGCATGTAGAATATGAATGTGTTTCATGTTTATGTCCATCTACAGGACAAGGGACTGGAAGCTCCAGTCCTTCAACATTAGGATTTTTTGGGGGTTCAATGTTTAATAATTATAAAACATTAAATTCTGCCTCTTTTTAAGGTTAACCTTCACACAAACTTATTTTTATTCAATATTTATTTGATAGGGACAGATGAAGATAATCTGAATTTTGTAACCATGACTAATTCACAACAGCTGCAAAATAAAAAGTTAATATCAAACAATAAATACAATAAAATGATCAGAAGTCCAGTTCAGTTTTTAAAGTTCAAGTAATTGGGCTTGTATATATGTTATAATCTTTACCTTTATCGCATAATCTGAGGTAATTAAGATGACACACCCACAGCAGAGGGCAGCATAGATAGATACACCGCCTGCGTAGGCTGAAGCCTGATAACACAGATCACTTCCTGCTCCATAACCAGTAACCAGGAAGCCTTTGGTCCAAGTCAGCACCGTAAACCACAACTGCTGAATTAAGACACTGCAGGTGAGATTTTAGGTTCGGCTCTCAACCAGACAGGCTCACAGGACACATGATGGCAGTCTTATGAATTCCCAGCCATCTTCCTATGAGATGGAGATAGAGGGGCCGTGCCTATCGCCGCCTTACCTTGGACAGGTCGGCAGTCCATCACAGGGCAACACAGAGACAGACAGCACAAACAACCAAATAACCTAACATGACCTCTTGTTTTTGGACTGTGGGAGGAAGCTGGAGTACCAGGAGAGAAACCACGCATGCATGGCCTACTCAAACCTATAGGACCTTCCAGCTGCAAGGCAACAAAGCCACTGTGCAGCCCAGTTCATAACCAATGTAATTAATTCATATGACTATGTAGTCATAATCAAGTTCATATATATTTTTATATTAATTCCACTTAGTAATAATCCAGTTTCATCGAGGCAATGAGCTAGCTTTCCTCCTCAGCAAGCATGTGACCACAGTGGAAACAACCAACTGTCCTTTAACAGGAAGCAACCTCCAGCTATTCAGCTTCACTGGATCCTTTAATGCTATGCATGCTAATGTAATTTAACACATAGGTTTAAGTGACTGGCAACATATTTTTCACAATGAAGTCATTTCTAGAGATTTGTAGTGAGGAGCATCTCAGATCCTGGATGATCAGTTATGGAGGCTCATATGTCAGCTCTTAACGAACTCTGTATGTGAACAAGTACTTAGCTAAAGATACTTAGTAATTAAGAACAATCCCACTATGTTAACTAAAAACAGCCCTGTGACTAATTCTGCTGCTCTTGCTACTTCTGTGCTAACCACTGAAGCAGTCAAGCAGACAGTAACTTCATCCATGTTTTCTACTCACAAGCTCCCTAAGTCAATGTTAGCCTAATGTGTGACAAATACTGCTTCTCACTAAATATTTGCTCTTCTAGTTTTTTTTGGCAATATTCTCTGTAGAAAACAGTAAATTCTAGGAAAACGTAACACAGAGAGAATAATCCAGGAAGTGGAACAATGTGGCAAATACTCTGTTTGGCTAAGATGAGATTCATCTGGACATGAGTCACAAAGGAAGGGGTCAGTGTGTTCAGCATGAATCAAAAAGGAGGATTATAGGAAACCGATGGAATTAACTTCAGCATTGTTGGGCGACATCACCTAAAGCCCCTACACACACACACACACACACACACACACACACACACACACACACACACAAGCACACACCACACACACACACACACACACACACACAGCCTTGTACTTCTATACAAACTGTGGACTTCATATTGACCTCTATTCATTTCAGTAACTGTATTTATACCTAATCTAGCCATTTTCTATAACGCTCACTATTACCAGTCTATCCCTAACCCTTTACTTAATCAAAGCTTTATTCACATTATACCTCTAAACCTCACGAGTAGAGCGGAGTAGAACTGCAAAAGAAGAGAGGACCAGGAAATGGTCTCTTTCCACAAATGGCTTTCCTTTTGTTGGTAAATATTGTGAAAGTGGTCCTCTAGTAGTATATACAACTATACGCACACACAGGTCTGAGCAGCTGAATTGTGACTACATTTACTATAAGTATGCATTAGCTGTTACTTTAAAAGCAGAAACTGCTGGACGTTTCTGGGAACATGTCCACTGAGTAAAGCAAACAATCCAGGCTGCACCATCAGGTGGAGATTATGTCTAAATCACAAACACAACAGCATTTAAACTAGAAAATTCCTGAAAAAATGTAACTGGGGCCTGCCAAAGTGTCCCGGTTGGTTTGGACCGAGCGTTCTGATGCTAAACATGAGCAGCAATGCTAAGCTTAGCTAAAACATTACAAAGTAGCATGTGGAGAATCACAAGAATGTTGTTGACTAACATGGACTTGCAACATTCAATATGTTAGAATTAATGCATAAGCTAAAATTAGCCAAAATGTTAATGTTAGCATGAATGCTGTGAGTAGCATGGAGTATCACTAGCATGTTGTCTTACATTCACTTCCTCCATTCAATACAGTAAACATGGGTAAAGTATAAGAAATGGCTAAAATGGTTATTTAAGGGAAAAGGCTCATATTAATGCACTAGTGGGTGGAAGTGAAATGCTCATGTTAATGCACTGCCTTGCTGTGCAAGAATATTAAAGCTTTTATTTTGACATTTTTAGTAAGCTTTATTTCAAAGGGGCAAACTAATCCCATGTATAACAGTGGTTGGGTTAAATCAGTCACATAAAGCCCAAAAGAGCAATTACCTGATTTTAAAATTGTCGAGGCTTTTATTTTGACATTTTCAGTAAACTTCATTTAAAGTAGCCACACTAATCCCGTGTGTAACAGCAAGTTGTGACCCTAAAGGAGCCGAGAAAATTGATATCATCATTCACAACTTCTGTTTGACGATTGGCCCGGTGGAATTCTTTCCGGAGAAATCGAGGTTAATGGGAGAAATCTCAAACTTAGTACTGAAGGGAGATGAGAATCAAGCTGACTTGCATGGAAAAGCATTTTCCCAGCTAGTCTTCAACAACGGGTTGATGGAGTAATAGGTCCAGAAGGGAACCACAGACATCTCTCCCAGGCCAAACTAGACACATAAATCATCTTCATCAGTTCATTTTAAATCCTCCATCATATTCAAAAACAATCTAATTATTATTAATAATAATGTCACCAAAAGTTGCTATGCTGGTCACCTGATGGAGACATAAGAGAGAAGCTACTATTCTTTTAAAAACAGATATAAACATTTGTTAAACAGTTTGTTTAATCGTTAAAATACAAGAAAAGTGAAAAAACCAACAGACTCATAACCAGTTTACAGGAAAGCATAGAAATGGACTCATTTATCTCCTTCCCGGTTATCAGCAATGTGAGCTGCTGACACTGTGCTGCTGTTGGTGTCAAGTGCTCAAACAGACATTACATTCTGGTTATTGTTTACATTTCCACAACGTACAGAACAAATGTGTTCGAGTGGCTTGTCAACAACCCAACAAATATGGAGCGGGAGCATCATTTCTTTGGGATCATTCTTCATTCTATATTTATGCTAACGTGTAAAATCATTTCTTTCTTTGTAGCTCTTCTCAAAGCAGGCAAAATTTTTTGTCACGTTTTACAACAACAGCAGCACCAAATGTCTGTAAGTTACATTTGATTTTATTTTTAATATATTTTTAAGTCAAGTATTATTCAAAATTATAAGCCTGATAGAATGATGAAAAACCCAACTTAAATGAATGGTTTTAATAATAATCAATCTAAACTTAATATGTAACTATTGAAATACCTGTTTTAATTCCTGGTCTCCTGAAATATACACTTCCGACGTCCGTCATGATTAATCATTCGTGTTGAATGATTAAGTGACGCAGATGCAAAGGGATAATAGTTTGAGTTATGCAGAACTGATCTGACTGTTTCCTTTCTTTCCTGAATAAAGAGTCACTAGAGTAAAAGAATATATTCATATACAAACACAAAATCACACAAAATCTCTAATGCTTAGTGCATCAGAGAAAACACAAAACAAATAAATAAATAAATAAATAAAAATGTATACTAACTTTGGCCAACAAACAACAGTCTGAAATTAGTTCTGTGTAAATAAAAATAATAAAATACGCAAATGAAGCAGACTGCTGTAGTTCAACAGAACATCAGATCTACAAGATGTTAGGCATTTCTCCCTCGTGTTTTTTTTAAGAACTCAAACGTTACGTCTACAACTAAGAATCTTGTTTTAAAAAAGGCAATCTTCCTTTTTAAAAATGTTCAACAACAACAACAACAAAAATATGTTCAACAACAAAACCCAAGCTTTGCAATAGCTTGTCCTCACTTCTTAGTGATCTGGAACTTTGCGCATTTTCATTTCTACCACTTGCCACAAACATCTAATGAGATGTCAATGTTTTGGTGTTTAGCTTTCTAACTAACTGCGCTGTAGGAAGAGATGTAGATGTGACAGGGATGTGATGTTGTTGCAGAGGGACTACAGGAATACAGTGACTGTCTTCTAAGAACAGAAAAAAAATTTATCTTTTTTACAACATTTGGTTCAAAGAAAGCAGGTTGTCAAGTGTCAAACAGCACACACACACTGGTCCACAGGGAGACATGCTGGTGGGACCTCAGGTGTGTTTTCTTCAATAAGACTTCTGCATCCTGAACAACAATGAGCAGCACTCCATTCTCACACAGACATAAGACAAAACTCCCTTCAATAACATTTACAGAGCTAAAGAGCTATTTCATTTACATGGTAGCACTCTTCATGTAAGCAGGTACATGCTTACATGAAGATGCTTTATACAGCATCTACCTGTAACATGCACAAGTGAAGCATCTCCACATTATGAGAAGCTTTTGCAGTCCATATCTATTAGCTCAGAACCTCTTCAGTGGTATTTTCAGAGGTTGAAGAATTGAAGACAATTATATGAGCCTATCCCCAATATCATTCCTTATCCCTGTTCTTTAGAAGAGAGTTTGGAGATGGAATTAGTGATTTACCAGAAGATGAGGAGAATTAAATGAACCAGGTCGTCAGATTGTGTAGAATGACACTGAGTGACGTCCAGCCACACCTGGAAATGATTTAGAGCCGAGTTTTCAGGAATTACTGTCAGCAAAAATAATGGAAGATAAATGTGTTTTTATTTTAAGGTAGACTACTGCCTGACACTGTTTCTAGAGGAGAAAAACATTATTACAGTAATAGACAGAATAAGAGAACTATTACAAGTCATTCATCAAAAGATTATTTGTTGAATGTTGCCTGGAATAACTACAAAACATTATAATATTTTGTCAGAGTACTGGCTTAAATCTGATACAGAATCTGTAGTAAAAAAAGTCATTTTTTTCTTAGAGATCAATAAAGTATTTTTGAATTTGAGGAAGCTAAAGATTAGGGTCATGGTCAAGAGGCTTTAAGTGCAAACTCTTCCTAAAGATCAACTGTAATAATTAAAAAAAAAAAATTAAAGCTGCGGAACCATGCAAAACCATCAGCAAATATGTTGCACTGATCTCATAGTAAAGAGTTTTCTTTTGGTTATGGAGAAAGGGTATGAATAGATTTTGACATGCCTTTTTTTAAGTAAATAAACAGTGACATCTCCTGTACATGGTCTCAGAAGCAATCTCTGTGAATTAAAAATAACTTTGAATCTAAAGGTGTGTTCACCTTTGTGCTTTATGCATGAGGCCAATACATAAAGCACATGTATGAGAAGAGACTTCTACACCCTCTAAATCCCTCAGCCAAAATGATGAGGATGTGTCTTTGCCTTGTGTTGAAACTTTTTCTGATTATGAAATTGCGTCACACTCAACTCCATCTGACCTTTACGGTTTAAACCAAAAAGCCGTGGCATAATGGGCCGGGAGCACACCTCAAGAACCCAATTATTACCTCCTGACCTACATTCTCAATAAAGAACTGCGGGTTTCAGACATTAGCTGGAGCCGGTCAGGTGCGCGGCGGAAGCGCCCTGAGCGCGAGCCAAGATGACGAGGGTTACAAACTGACCCACAACACCATCTTCTCTGCTTCCCCCCCGCGCCTCGTCACCTGGGCTCGGATAAACATCGACAGCTTCCCGGGAGCATCCCACGGAGAGCGGGACGAGTCACTCACCCACGGTAGTGAGCTTTAACTTTCACCCACTCGGAGTTCAGGTCCATGATGGATCCGTTTGACGCCAGCATATGCATCGTTAAGAGTTTGGTTCAACTCCCAAGCAGCCCGGCGTCAACTGGACACGTCCAAAGTTTTGCTGTCCCGAACTTCTTGTCACTTCACAACACGAGGTTTTACATGCATACCGAGGCAGGAGGAAAAGCTCAGACTGAATTAAACCAGCGCAGCTGCTTTGAAGTTTTCTGTTGTTTCAGAATCATTAAGGCTTCGATGACGGACTTTTTAGTCAGAGGAACTTAAGCGGCGTCGTTGTTTCCGGGTGTGATTTTCAAATTCCAATTACCGCGCGTCAAAACTTACGGCGGTGATAAGGCAGGGCTTTTATTTTGGAAGCAAACCTTCTTTGCAGTTTAAGCGACGTCTGACGCGGCTTGACGGCATGTCTCGTCTCTCACTATGGTTACGGTAATCCAAATTCACCTGTCCCGCTGTTCCTGTCCTCGGCTGCCACAGCAACAAGTCTAACACCGCGACACGGGAACAGAGACTGTTGAATACATTTAATACACTGTTTATTGCAACTTCTTGTCGAAGTATTCTCTCTGGATAATACTTTTGTAGCAATGTGAGCGGGGCTTCTCCTGCAGACATGAAATAATTATATACTACAGTGTCATTTTTTTAAGTTTTTGAAGTGTTACAGTAAAATGTTTTATTTTTATGAAGTTTCAAAAATATTTAAAAACATCTTTCACCGTTGATGTTCACAATTATAAAATCCAGAGGCGCCATCTGGTGGAGAATCCGCGAATTGCTGCACTGAACATCCATCCATCCATTTCCTGTTCACCCTTGTCCGCTAGTGGGGTCATGAGGGGTGCTGGTGCCTATCTCCAGCTGCACCCTGGACAATTTTTTTGATAACTTTCACTTTTACTTCACTATATTTCCAAACTTAATTGCATACTTTTACTCCGATACATTTTCAATGTGTGGTTTAGTTACTCGTTACAAAAAAGCGAGAGGGAGAAACAGTGTTTTGACCCCAACCTACTGATTGACTGCAACAAAGTTGGTAGCCTGCTTGCCTGGGCTTGTTCATCACCACCAATAGGATGCACCTGTTTCGCTTCTCCCATTAAACACCAAGTTAACTAAAAAGCTCTCCCTCTTCAGATGCCAAATAAGCTGCATTTCCCTCCCAATTCTTTTTTTTTTCTTTTGCATAATGACCAGTTGTGTTCACCTATAGTTTGTGAAGTAGAGTAATGGCTTTTTTTCTTCATGTTGGCCGCATTTTCTGTACTGACTATTTATTTTTCTCATTTTCAGCACTGATTTTACTTAAAAGGAAAACTTTAGGCTTACAAAAACTTTGTATTTTCTGTCCTGGAGGGTTTACTAAGAAGCTGGTTCAGTTGTAAAGCAGGTTAAGTTAACCTTGTGGTTTAAGTAAAGCGCCTAATTTTCTTAACTAAATGATGCCTGCAGGTTTATCTATTAGCAGGTTTCATTTTGCCTGCACTTGGTTGAGTACATTACTTTAAGTGTATTTGACAAGTTTACCAAAATATAAAAAATGTCATTCAAACTGCATTTGCCTTGTTTTACCTTTTACTTATACTTTTTATTACATTACTTGAGTACATCCATTTTTACAGTAATTTCCATACTTAAGTACAAGACATTTCAGATACTTTAATACTTAACTCAAGTAACATTTCAATCAGTGACTTGGACTTTTATCAAAATCATATTTTAGAGGTACCTATACTTTACTTCACTCTGAGATTTCAGTACTTTATACAACACTGCACACACACACACGCACACACACACACTATTAGCAGGGTGAAGCTTGCTGACAAGCTTCACACACTGTGTCATGTCTGCTGGTTCTCCTCATGTGCCTGAGGAGAATTTTGGACAGTCCAATTAACCTGACACTCATGTTTTTGGACTGTGGGAGGAAGCCGGAGAGAGAACCCAGGCAGCAAGTTATATATATATTTTTTTGTCATTATTGAAATTCAACAACATAAACAAACTTCTACTTCATATAAACACATAAACACATAAAGTGTTAGGAAATTAAGCACAAATTTTAATAAACATTCCTTCATTCGTGGAAAAAATCTGAGAGTGAAGTTTCCAATCTCTGATGTCTGCTTGAAGAATATAGTAAAAAACAATATAGTAAAAACAACATAGTAAAAAAGGACAAATAAAGTGCAGGTTATTTTTAGATGTTAAAACTTTTAATTATTAAACATCTAAACATAAAAAAATAAAGTTTAGCCAGATCAGCTTTAATACTTACAGATGGTTAAAGCTTTAATAGTTATCAAAATTCAATCAAACAGTTATTCAGACTACCATACACCTGTGGAGAAGCACTAAGCACAGTATTAAAACGCAAACAAATGGCAGCGACAGAAAATATCTGTGTCTCAATGATCCATTGCTGCAGACGACGTCGGCCGTTAAGGTTCCGTCTCGGACCTGGGTTTGGTTTTCAGAGCATCTGTTTGAGAAAAAAAAGAAAAACATTTCAACCTTCTGTTACCAAATTGACACATATTTGTTCTGCCCTTAATGAACGTCCATGTTCTAACATTGTTTGATTTGAATCAGTGTCGCTCGATTCTGGTCCTCAGGGAACACTGCCTTACATGTTTTAGATGTCTCTGCTCCAGAACACCTGATTCAAATTACTGCATGATCTCCTCTGCATGCAATGTGCTTCACCTACAAGTCAGGTATGTGGTAGAAGTGGAACACCTGAAACATGCAGGACAGTGGACCCTAAGTCGGTCCTCGAGGGCCGGCATCATGCTCTGTTTTAATCCTCCATTTTAAGTCGGGACGTTTCAGTTTATTTTGAGGAATAATAGCCATGTGGAATGAAAGGATGAGATGAAAGGTCCTGTTATCTTACTTGGTCCACAGGGTGCAGTTCACCCCATCTGGGGAAAAGGATCCTTGCTGACAAGCTTCACACACTGTGTCATGTCTGCTGGTTCCTGTTAAAACACAAACAGTTTAACACAGAAACACACCCACATTTACAAATGCTTTTAAATCCACGGATGAATTCAGACTCACCAGGTTGTTTTATTTTCTCTCCAGGCTTACAGACTGAATGTTTCTCTGCTATGCTACACCCAGTACTATCTGTTAAGCTTTTGCAGAAAAACCCACTTAGAACGTCGCAAAGCGAATCTGATGTCGATTTGCAGTTCTCCTTCGCATAAAGACCAAGCCCTAGAAAATGAAAGCGCTCGTTTTGATTATTCAAAATGTTCTCAAATGTCCCATCTTTCTAGCTTCCCCGGATCTTTTCCACCTGACCGCACCTTGATCACAGGTGGAGCAGGAGAGGCACCTCCTCAGCCCGTTGGGTCGGTTCATGTAAGTTCCCCTCTCACAGGGGGCGCAGCGTGTTCCTGACTCAGCCGAGCAGTCCCTGACAACCACGGTTCCTGTAAGGACACAACAGGATAATTATTTCATTTGAGACAGATCGCCATCCTCTCAGGTACAACAAGGCTTCTTTACAGCCAAGGTTCCACATGAAGTCAAAAAGACACTGTTGTTTGAAATGGGGTCGTACAGAGAACCTGTCCTGACGCCAGTGGACATATTTCCTGCAGCAGACAACAGATTCAGATCTCTTGGGAAGTCAGCTATTGTTTTTTGTCTGAGAAAAGCTTATGGATAATTTTATTATTTATAAGAGTCAAAGAGGAGAAAGGACTTTCTTTTCAAAGACCTTGTAGAGCTGCTGCTTTGTTTTTTGTGTCACTTTTCGTGGCATGCTAGTCAGTTGTGCATGGGCTTTGTTGTTCCAATCTTCATATCTGTCTGAATCTGACGAGACTTTTGAAGGTGATAAAGATACAGTAACCTATATATTGTTGATGGTTATACTTAAATTCCATATTGGGTGGGCTACAGCTCTTATCTTATGGTATAAAGCACATGTGTCAAACTCAAGGCCCATGGGCCAAATCTGGCTCACCGCAGCTTTTTATGTGGCCTTCTAGATTCCAGATTAAACACTAAGTGTAATTAAATATTATGTTATCAGTCAAATCAATGCAGTGTTCATCTGTTTACTGCCAAATTATGTCAACCAGTCCCTCCAGTTTCTTTAGAATTATTATGGAAATTCACAATAATTTGTTTAATTTTGCACTGAAACATAATTGGGAGTTCACTGCAGATTCTTCTCTAAAGATTTCAAAAGCTCTCTTATTTGTACTAAATAATTGCCTCAGATTTAATTGATGTCAGATTATATAGTCCATGATCTATATGGAGAATAATGAAAAGTTGCATTTACCATCATAAATAAGTGTAAATATTTCCAAATTAGTACCACAAACTCTTTGATTTTTACTTGCAAACAACACAAAAAAGCATCACAAACTCTTACTGTTTAAGGATTCTGTGATATTTTAGCAGTTTGTGAACAGATGTGATCAATTCACATCCGGCCCCTTTAAGGGCGTGACCTTGATTTGGCCCAAAGCCAAACTGAGTTTGTCCTCCTGGTGTAAAGCGTTGCCTGTTATAAAATGCTGGCGTGTCTTTTGCTCGGTGGCGTTGACTCTGACCTGGTTTTCACCACTCAACTTCGCCAAGGCAACACTCAACCGGAACTGGGTGTTTTGTTCAACAGAAATCTGCAAACCGCCCAAAATGGCTCCAAAGTTTCTGTTTTTCTGTTGCTGTTGTTTTGCTCTCGTACCTTCTTGGCACATGGGGCAACACTGTCCGTCGCTGACGGGGTATTCCTTCTGTCTGCAGGCTGAAACTGGTTCAAACAGGCAGACACCCACTACGAAAGAAAGGAGGTTTCAGTGTCTTCTTCTTTATCACATCCGCTCAAACGTCTAATGACGCAGTCAGACTCACCTAACATGACCAACATGGACAACATGTTACGTCATCTCTTTTCTGTTTCTGGTTAAATTTCTTCTCTCTTTTATTCGGTTTTAGAAACCCGTCGTGGAAAAACTTAACCGTCAAACCAAGAAAAAATGGGGAAAAAAACCCAAAAACGCGAGTTGCCAGGTTTGTCTGGAAAAACCTCCATCGTAGCGTTTCACTGTAACCAGTTATTTGAAATGAAACAATGTGTGGCCAGGTTTATTTGATTCTCTTTCCTTTTCCTCGCAACAAAGTTTAATTTAGAGCCTAAGATGAAGATGTTGATCCAAATGGTACATTTATCACATTCTAAATCCATCCAAAAAAAAAAACTATAAAAAATAGTAATTTGTGAAAATATACTTAACAGTTCATTAAATGCCCCATAACATATGCCTGTAACAATCAAAATGAAAGCAATTTTTAGAGTGTTTATTAATTTATTATAGTGCAGTAATTACATTTATCTAACCGTGGAGAAACCAAACCGAATGAGCAGCATTATCTCCAAGTTTAGCTTCTTTGCGTTCCGGTTTCTATCAGAGACGTGACAGTTTATGGTTTGAGGTTTGTTTCTGAGTAAACATATTCTGACGTCTCCACACTCATCCTTCTGCTTCCTGCAAGGAGCGCATTTCTTCTTTTTTTTTTTTGTTTCTTCAGGCTGTTTATACAAACACTTTAACCTTCAGGATGTGACTGTGGTGGTTCAACATTATCATTCATTCATGGAATCCACATTTTTTCCACTTGCCATCACACACACAGTGGTGCAGCAAGACAGGTAACCCAAACCAAGAGACTGGATTGTGGTTGAGCGGTTAAACGTTTGATTGTCCACACATGCTTGAATTTCTCTTGTCTTCTTCTTCCTGTTTTTGGTATCCAGTGATCACAATTTGGTGCCAGCATTTATCAGCAGGGCACATTTCCAGAAACTATGCACTGCGTGATGTGACTTGACAGACAAGTTGCAGCATATGAACTTGTCATATGTTGCATGTTTGCTGTTGTGCTGCATCTCCTCAGCCCTCATTGTAGATGACGTTCAGCGGCCTGCACACACTGAAGGAGCTGCAAAAGAGGAAACCCTCAGCGCAAAATAGGAGAACACTTTACCACTGCAACCCGGTGGCTTGAGACAGACGTTCTGCAAGCTGTGAACGTGGCGGTGGCATCTGTAACCTGTGACCTTTAAAAGGGTTTATTCTGACAAGAAAACAAATAGGAAATAGCCGTGTTACAGGCTGCCCGCTCCAAGCCCTACATAAACAAAAGTACATAATAGAAATTAACTTAATAAATCTACAAATAAACTGGATGTATTTAGATACAAAATAAATAATACACACCTCTCCCACAGGACAACATGACAAAAGGGGAGGGTCTAAGGGACGCAAACATTTTAAAGGCAATACCACAGAGGAAGAAACAAAAGGGGAGGGGCTTCCGTTCTTAAAGTAACACAGTTAAAACAATAACAGAGATTTTCAGTCAGGTAGGAACCCATACAAATAACCAAAGAAAAACATTTTGAGTAATTATAACAACATAGAAATTCAACCAGGTTACACCGAGACACTGGGAACATTCCTCAAAAAAGATAATGCTGCGTTGTTGAACACGTTCCGGAAATGAGTGAAATAAATAGTTCATTGGTTGTGCGAGGCAAAACAGGCACAGCTGAAGAGTCTCACACTCTGAAACAAGATAAATAATGAGAACACATGGCCCCTGTCAACCTAAATACAGAAGCTGTAAATATAGAAACAGAACAGTATGGATGCCCACATACTGACTGGAACCATCCCTGTTGGATCAACCAGTAAACATCGTCACCTTAACATGGATGGAGGAAGAGTTGACAGGATTTTGTGAGCTTAAAGTAGCAGTTACAGTGTGTAGGGTTTGTAAAGAATATGCTTTTTGCTTTGCTTGGTTTTTTAACTTATTAATAGCTGGTATGCCGTGAGACAAACTGTGAACTTAAAGTTATGTTTCATCCTTTCGTTCACCAAATTTCAGTTTTTGTTTTTTTGAACCAAATCCTACAACAGAGAACAGGTTTCCTCTGTTGTAGGATTTCTCCTCTTCAGCCACCAGATCTGTACTTCTAAGATCGACAAAGTGCAAAGATATTCATCTGTCCATTTCTAAGCCTTTCCGATTGTGCATATTCTGAAAAGAAATTTAGCTTTAAAATGTTTTTTTTTCTCTCTCGTTTCTGCTTTACGTGATCATATGTAATCCTCTTATATTTCCCTTCCTGGTCTCTGATGGCTCTCTGCACTTCAGCCTGCTGTTATTAGCAGGGTGTGGCTCTTGGTTGACAGCATAATTACACACATTCAGAGCAGATAAACACAAATGATGACATCAACTTCAGCGTTTCCCATCTTACCTTTAAAAAGCCAAAAATGAATATTTAAAGTTATTTCAAATTAATCATATTTTATATTAGAGTAGAAGAACTCAAAATACATCCTTACTGTTATTCACAGCATCAGTAGTTTTTCTGGTTAGAAATGGAAAAACAAAAACAAACACGGAGCTCAAATAGCAGCTTTTGTCGTTTCTCCATCCACCTCTCAGGACAGTGAGGTCTGACGCAGCGCGTCCGGACAAATAACCTCTAGAATTTGTTGTCAAAGATCCATGCAGTAAACAGACATATATAGGGAGCTGCGCAGACATTTGGCTAAGAAAAGAATGTTGAACAGCGCAGATTGAAACAGGTGTCATTCAGAGAAACGCATGTCTGCCTGTTTTTTCGGAAAACCAACATGGGATATGGCAACCCAGCAGTGACGTTGTAAAAGCAGACGCAGCATACTGGGTGCGGTAGACTGAACAGTGTTAAAGGGGCAGTGTTATGTATTTGTCTCGGCACATAGTGCTACTTTATAGCTCAGTCAAGTGATTGTTACTTTACTTGAGTGCTTCATTTGTGAATAAAACTGCACTGGAACTGTAAATATGAGACAAAAAGTTACCTCAAGCCAACACTGAAACGCAAACACAACACGCGAGGCGCTCAAGTGTGAACATACTAAACCAATTCATATTTCTACATTACTTTGAAATGCTTTATGTCTCATTTATAAGCGCATTAAATGCGTCTTGCTTGTCTGTTACCTCACTGCGATCAGGTGACGAAGCTGAAGTTGGTTTCCCAGTCGGGAAATGGCTGAAAGGCGATTCCACCTGATTTTTCACCACCTTCCGCATCCAGTATCGACTCTAGTTTAAAAAAAGTAAAAAATAAAAAAAGCTACAACACATAGACTCTGTATGGCAAGCCGTTTTAACATAAATTCGGTTCCGTCTGATTATCCGTAATTACATTCCAGATATCTGAAAATGTATTTTGACTTGACAAAACTACATTTTGACTATCCGGAAGGGTAATTTAAGATATCTGCATTTACATTCTGTAGGAATAATAATTCAAGATATCTTGAATTACATTTTGACTAGTCAAAAATTCCTTTCAGGATATATCAAATGACGTCCCTGGATCTGTAATTTGACGAGACACATAACCGGAATTACGATTTAAGATATCTTGAACATAATTATCACTAGTCAAAATTACAATTTTAGATATCTGAATTAAGAATGACGTGAAAGACCCTTTGTGCTGTCCACACACTTGCCTGCAGAATTTTATGTTTCCTGTACAAAATTGTCCATAAATGCCACTTAGAAAGAGCTCAGCAATGTTGGAAATGCGGAGAATGCAAAACTTCATAAACTATAAGACTGCTAATGATATCTGCAAAAAAAAATACTGTTTATTCATTTCCGACGAACCGAATGCACTTAAAAACAGCTTTGAAAAGCTAAAACTGCTATTGTCAATCCATTTTCAACATGAAAGTGGTGCATTTTCAAACATCTTGTTTCGTTTTTTCTATTTTTCATTGTTTTATTAAACTTTCAAATTGCCACGTAAATCAATGACGTTTTGACTAGACAGAATGCTAATTCAAGATATCAGTAATGTCATTTTGACTCGTCAGAATGTTAATTTAAGATATCTTAAATAGAAAAGTTGAATAATTCAAGATATCTGTAATTCATTTAGAGATATCTTAAAACGAATTTTGACTAGTCAAAATTATAATTCTAGATATCTCTCATTTAGTTTTGTCTAGTCATTATTTGCTTTCAAGATATCTATAATTTAATTTCCACTAGTCAAAACTACATTTCTCCTATACCCAAAAATACATTTAAGATATCTTGAATTATGGACTAATTAGAGATATCTTTAATTAGAATTATGACTAGTCAAAACTACAATCGAGATATCTTGAATTTACTTTTTGACTAGTCATAATTTAATTATAGCTAAGCCAATCAGGTATTGGTCACGTATTTGTCACGTATTGGTCACGTGATCTTCCTGAGGCAAACTCGAAGCCCGAATCAAATGTCATAGATAGATTGACGTCTTGATAATGTAATCACAAATCATGTTCTTTTGCAGATAATGTGGACAATACCTATCAAATATAAATTATATATAGATACCTATAGAGAAATAGATATCTATATCTATATCAACATATTTATTTTCATATAGATATATATTTATAATTTACATATATTTCATACATAATTTATATTTGATGGTTAAGAAAATAATTAATGACTAAATGATGGTGGAGCGGCTACAGGACTTTTACGTCAATCTATGACGTTTGATTCGAGCTTTGAGTTTGCCGCAGGAAGATCATGTGACCAATACGTGACCAATACCTGATTGGCTTAGCTGGTCATTGGTGACGTCACACTTCTCTGTCGCATTCAAAACTCCGAATCTGACGTCATAGTTTGACGTCAATGACCAGCAGAAGCAGAGCCTTTGAATGTTGGGCATCTGCGATCATTTGGTCACAAATCACTTCTCTTGCCTTGCAGTAAATGCTTGCAAACACAAAGCCCATTAGAGACTTAATGGGCTTTATGATTGGTTGATCCTTTCTTCAGTTTACAAGCTATGCATGGTTCAAGAGAAATGTCGGGTCATGAAAGACTCGTTTGACCGCCGATGACAAGGCGGTCAGTGTCATGTGATTCTGGTCACATGACACATGGTGGGCTGGGAAATAAGCTTCCATACCTTTGTATGGAAGCTTATGGGAACTATAACTTATGGTACATTATATAGAGATATAGATCTATATATAGAGAGAGCTATATAGATATATCGATGTATCTACCTAGATAGATCGATATATCCATATCGATCTATCTAGATAGATACATCGATATATCTGTATAGATACATC